TACGAGACACGCTTACGCCTTGAAGTGGAACCTGTTCGTCGAGTGGTGTTCTTCTCGCCGAGAAGACCCCCAGAGATGCCCAATCAGGGTCGTGCTTTCCTTTTTGCAGCAAGGACTGGAGCGAAGGCTGTCTCCCTCCACCCTTAAAGTTTATTTCGCTGCGATTGCTGCTAACCATGACTCCGTGGAAAGGAAGTCGGTAGGTAAGCATGACCTGGTCATCAGGTTCCTTAGGTGGCGCGAATGTTAAATACTCCCCGGCCCCCCTCCATACCCTCTTGGGACCTGTCTCCAGTGCTTAAAACACTACAGCAGGGCCCATTTGAGCCTTTGCATTCAGTCGAGCTAAAGTGTCTTTCATTGAAAACTCTGTTTCTGCTTGCTCTGGCCTCCATCAAGAATGTAGGGGACCTGCACGCATTTTCGATCGGTGATTCGTGCCTAGAGTTTGGGCCGGCTGACACCCAGGTAATCCTGAGGCCCCGGCCCGGCTATGTGCCCAAGGTTCCTACTACCCCTTTCAGGGATCAGGTAGTGAACCTGCAAGCGCTGCCCCCGGAGGAGGCAGACCCAGCCCTAGCTTTGCTTTGTCCTGCCTTGAGATGCTACGTAGACCGGACACAAAGCTTTAGGACCTCAGACCAGCTCTTTGTCTATTACGGAGGCCGGCAGAAGGAGAAGGCCGTCTCTAAGCAGAGGATGGCCCACTGGATTGTGGATGCCATCACCCTGGGGTGTGCAATCACAGGGTGTGCCCTGCCCGCTCAGGTTGCGAGCTCACTCTACTAGAAGTGTTGCATCCTCCTGGGCGCTGGCTCGTGGCGCCTCACTGACAGATATTTGTAGAGCTGTGGGCTACCAGACGTGGCGGAACGTCCGGCGCCAGGCCCTCACTCGCTGAATCTGTGAGAACTGGGTTCCATATGTGTAAAGTCCATGGTATAGCCTCAGAGCCCGTGTTTCCCCGGCAGACTTCTGCCATTTCCAAGAAGGTTACAATCACCTCCAATTTTCCATATGCACCTAAACCGATGTTCATATGTGTATTTGCTTCCGAAACCTCCTTCGGGAAGGATGGGGCTTCCGCAGCGTCCCTGTTCCAAGTGGAACGGGTACGTTTTCCCAGTGTTATCCAATCTCACTGAGTGGGTAGTGCTACGACAACGGTGAATGGTCTTCTTGTTGCGAGCCCCGGCCTACACCAAAAAGGGGCGCAGGTGGCTCGTACAGGGCACTAGAAGGGGCAGCATACATGGCGCTTTGGTAGGGAATCCCAATTCGTCGTAACCGACTGAAAGTGAACGTCTCGTTTACGTATGTAACCCTCGTTCCCTGAAGGTGGGAACGGAGACGTTACGTCCCGTCGCCATAGCTGCTGTACCACCGCTGAGCGGCCGGGTCACCGGCTCGGCTCCTCAACGAAAACCTGGTATGCATTGCACCGGCTGCATTTTTATGCTCACGCTGTGATCAGCGGCAGCTGGATGCAATAATTGCATGCCAATGTGGATTGGCTCGTTTAGTTACACTCGAAGTAGATTGGTATCTCGAAGCGAGATCCCAATTCGTCGGTCACGACGTGACGTCTCCGTTCCCTCCCAACCCATACCAGGTTTTCGCTGAGGAGCCGAGCCGGTGACCCGGCCTCTCAGCGATGGTACAGCAGCCGTGGCGACGGGACGTGACGTCTCCGTTCCCTCCTTCAGGGAACGAGGGTCACATACGTAACTGAGATGTTCTGTGATCAGTAGTAAAAACTGATCCAACCAAAGGCCAGAGGGCGCTCTTGCGCTGAAACTCCAAATCTGCCCGCAGAAGAAAGAAAATGCATGAAATCTGTCAATGCAGCTAAATAAACAGAAGATTGAACTGCTTTCATTGATTTAACGTGACTAATAAACAAACTATGACAATATATGGTTTATCTGAGTTCCTCTTATTATAATTTTCATTATAATAATGTATATTTATAATGCGATGCTAATCGACATAGCCTTTATCACTGCATAGAAAACTATGAAATAATATGTTGCGTGTCTTATTCTGTGTAAGAAGCCACATCATCTCACAGAAGGATTTTATTTCAAACACTGGACTGACGTTATGAAGTGAGTTTGGAGTAAAAACATAGCAAATGTCTTTTGGTGGAGAAGATCATAAATGCTTCATAAATGCTTCGCATGTTTGAAAGAAGTTTGACACGTGTTGCTTTTTCAAATATATATTGCAAGCGACTCAAACTCGCAGTGTTTTCAGATAGAGCAGAAATTACGCATGCGCTTCAGGAGTGTGTCAGACAGACAGCACGAGACCGCAACGAGTTGTTTTCTGTAACTTATTGCACTTAATAACTAATTTTAACGTCAAGCAAGTCACGCAAGGAACTTTTCGCAACGTTTAGAAGTAGCCTATTATTAAAATAATAATTCTGATATCACATGCCATTGCGATATGCATTTCGCGATATGTACATTTGCGATATTTCGATAATTTTGATATCGTGCAGCCCTAATCTAAAGAATATTTTTCTGCTATAAAGAACATTTTGTGCAATGGAAAGTTTCCATGGATGTTAAAGGTTCTTCATGGAATCATAGATGCCAAAAATTAACCTTTATTTTTAAGAGCGTATCAACTGTTAACACACACAGCAGATTCTGTCATTCTGCAGTCCCATTTTCTATTGTTCAGCAAATCTTTGAGGTCAAAATTTAGTAATTTCAATAGCAGGCTTTCAAAAGTAAGGATTTCCTCAAAGAGACTGCAAGAGCTTCATACATCGGTAGGCTAAAATAAAAAAAATAAAAAATATTTCTTCTTTCATGTCCACACAATTTTGCTAATGTGGCTGTACCTTTAAGACAGTATGTAAACATCAGTGCCAAAATACCAGTAAACTCTGTGATGTTAGTTGCTTTAGTGCTTCAGTTTCAGTTTTATCCAATTTGTCAAAATCTTCAGCATTAGCTCCAAGTGATAGTTCTGTAAACAGTGTGGAGTAATCGTGTCATCTCTGTCACAATGCTAGAATTGATCCAAAGCAGATATCAGTGCATTCTGACTTTGTACATGCTCTTTGTACAAATCTTATGCTTTGTTCACACATAGCTTCAAAAATGGGCATTTTACTAGTAATTTTACAATTTATCATCTTAGAAAATTGCCAGAAATCAAAGATCCTGTTCACACATGATCTTAAAATGGTAATTTACCAGTTATTTTCCATCAAAGGTTGTACGTGTGAAAGCTCCTCATGGTCTCCCCCTTACCTTCATTCTTTTTCCTCCTCTCTTTTTTTTTGCTCTTCTCTTTCTTATGCTCCTCTCTGCTTTTTTTTCCTTCACTGTCCCTTTCACTTTATTGTTTATTCCTTTATTCCTTCTTTTTTCCTTCCATCCTTCCTGCCTTCTTTCTTATTGCATTGCTTCTTCCTTCTATCCATCCATTCTTTCTTATTTTTTTTTCCTCCACTGTCCCTTTCCTCCATTCATTGATTTGTTTCCCTTCCTTCCTTCATATGTATGTTATTTTCCATCAACCTTTTTTTGTCATGTTCCTTTCCACTCTACCTTCAGGTGTCTGTCATGGTTTGTGTATTATACTGTACATTCAGTCTTTCTTTGTCCACTTCCTGTCTTTTTTCATTACCTGTTTTTTTTTTCTTTTCTCCGTGAGGTTCCTCTGACCTTGCTCTCTCCCTTAGCCCCTCTCAACTCATATTTGAGGGTGTGTAAAAGAAGGAAATATATAATTGCATTTGTGAAAGTCCAATTAAATAATCAATATGAAGGCCGGGGGAGGGGGTAATATACTTCATATAAATACCTTCACCTGTCAAATTATCCTCTGCCACCTATCATATGTCATATTAAGAGACTTGTTAATAGATGATTTAATTTAATAAACTGGATTGTATTTAAGAGTGTTAACCCCTTAAATGCTCATTCCAGTTTGATGGAGATTCTAGTCTAGTATATGATCAACTCTATTGTAACATACAGCATAAGTTAAGACAACTTTAAAAGCACAAAGCCCATACTAGATTGCTTGGAAAATAATTTTTAAACTCTTTTTTTTAGTACTACAGTGAAGACAAATCAGTAAGATGTTAATCTTTATAAGTTTACCCTCCTGTCTCACATGCATCGATTTAGTCTTATGGATTCTTCTTTGATGTACAGCAAATCGTATTGACCCTGCCAAAAACCCTTGTTATTATGCCTGAATCAGATTGCACATTCATTACGCAATGTCATATTTCTGCCAATACTGCATCTAGCTTAAGGCTCTGTGATCTTTCTCAACAAGCAAAAACACCCACCACAAACAAATAACATAATGCAACACTCTTGTTTCAGTTATTGGATGTTTTATGAATATAACGATTCCACTCTGTTTTTCTCTTTTCTCATAATGGTTTCTGCTCTCTGTGTTGATCTTCTGTCTTAGCTTTGTCTGACTCTGCTGCCCAAGGCAAGTTATGCTTTATTTCATTTACCACATCACTACATTTTCTATTTGACCATATGTACTTATATTAAGCCAATGGCTTCATGTGTAATTTCTGATTGTTTTCCATCAGATGGAAAAGAGAAGGGATTGGAACCATTTGTATATGGTAAGAATCAATATTTACAAAAGCTTACACAGGTCAATATTTACTTACATAACAAGGCTTATGTAATGCCTCTCAAGCATTACATGCTTGATGCTTCTCAAACAGCAGGCACCCAAAGTCTGGAATAAAATTGGTATTTTGACATCCATCACCTTTATATTCAAACTCCGTATACAGTCATATTCATCTGTGCCTTCAGAATGCAATTACACCCTGATGCATCTAAATGAGATCTAAATGAGATTTTTTTTTAATTCATTTACAGTATTTACAGCAACAAATAAAAGTATTTTGATAATCTCCAGAAAACTATTTCATATCTGAAAAATAGTAAATAGTCCTTTGAAATTGAGTGACGTGACTAAATATATTGTCTACAAATAGGTAGTTGGTGCAAAATACAGGTCAAAGTGGGCTTCAAAACCTATCCACCCAAACCACATTTGCAGCATGCGACCACATCGCATTTGTAGTGTAAACACTAATACTTCTTGATGCATCCTAGGCAACTGTGAAGGACCGCCTACTCACCTGTCAGTCAACTATGTGGTTAAACAAGGATCAAAATACCAGGTGTAAATAGGGCCTCAGTGAAGTCTCACAAGTAAAAAAGATCACATCAAACATGTGGTCATCAATCACACTCCTTTGGAACTTCAAGATGATACTATAAAGAAACGAAAGATTAGAAGAGAAAGAGAAAGTTTGTAAAACCACTTCAATTGCAGATATTAGCTACATCAAGCTGTTTAACCAGACAAGAAGAGCAGCCGTGAGGGAAGAAACTAAGAGGCCAATTTCTCACTGACAGCTCCAGAGCTCTTTGGCTGCCCAGACATCAACAACCACTTCAGGACTTCACAGGTTTGGCCTCTTTTGGAGAGTGGCTAGAGGCAAGCCACTTCTGAGCGACTCCACAATTTAAACATCATGCCTTGAGTTTGCCAGAAGGAAAAACATCTAGGTTACGTATGTAACCCTCGTTCCCTGAAGGAGGGAACGGAGACGTTACGTCAGAACAGACTGACGAATGGGGTCTCGCCCGAGAGCCCAATCACCTTCGAGTGGTAACAGAACGAACCAATGGTATGCTGAGTACCTTGGTCTGCGGAATTTGCATTGCGACCTCCACCCCGCTGTGTGGGTATATAAGGAGCAGCGCGAGCAACTCGCATTCAAGTCTTCCCTGAGGAGTCATACGTAACCTAGGCGTTCCCTTTCAGTCGGTCACGTTCGACGTTACGTCAGAACAGACTGACAAATGGGGTCCCTTCCAAAATGCCACAGTGGCTGTCTTCCAGTGACCTGCGTAAGTGATAGCACTCTGTCGTGAGGCCAGCACGAGTGAAGGGCTATACCTAACACAGAATACACTAGGTAGCATATTCCAGCAGGAGGTATGCTAACAGGCTGCCTGCTCGTAAGAGGTCTTACAAAGCACATATCAACCAGCATAGTGGTGATACATATGAATCTCTGAGGTACCTAGCCCGCAGGGTGGATATGGTTCAACGCCAGAGATGGCAAGGGTGGCTTGCCAAGGGAAAGACACATGCTGATGAGAGAGACTTACTGTGGAAATACACACGTGGGATTGCCCAAGAGGGGAATCACAACATATGGAGGCACTTAGTCTAACACAGGGGCTGACTGACAGGGCATGCACGCACATGCTCTACACAACAGTGCTGGAGGAACCCAGGGTTCTTAACTGTGGAATTCACCTGAGGAGAATAGCACACGCATCCAGTCCGTGGAGTGGAATGGCGCAGCAAGCGAATTGACACCGAGCAGGTCCTGTTTACTGGCCCGAAGGGGCAAGTATACGGGAGGACACGGGCTCTACACTGAGATTATAGAATCTCGCAAATGTGTTAGGTTTCGCCCAGCCCGCAGCTCTACAGATGTCTGTTAGCGAGGCGCCATGCACCAGCGCCCAGGAGGAAGCCACACTCCTAGTTGAGTGAGCTCTCACCCCTAGGGGGCATGGCAGGTCTTGAGCCTGATAAGCCAAGACAATAGCATCCACTATCCAGTGGGATAGCCTGTGCTTGGAGACAGCCTTTCCCATCTGCTGGCCTCCGTAACAGACAAAGAGCTGGTCTGAGGTCCTGAAGCACTGAGTTCTATCTACGTAAGTGCGGAGAGCACGTACTGGACAGAGCAGCACCAGGGCTGGGTCTGCCTCCTCCGGGGGCAGCGCTTGCAAGTTCACCACCTGATCTCTAAAGGGAGTGGTGGGAACTTTGGGCACGTATCCAGGCCGGTGTCTCAAGATGAGAGTTGGTCGGCCCGAATTCCAGGCACGCTTCGTCAACTGAAAATGCCTGCAAGTCCCTGACCCTCTTAACCGAAGCCAAAGCCGTCAGGAGCGCAGTTTTTAATGATAATAATTTTAGCTCCACTGAAAGCAAGGGTTCGAAAGGAGCTCTCTGCAGTGCGGATAAAACACCTGCGAGGTCCCAAGAGGGAACTTGTTGAGGGCGAGGCGGATTGAGCCTCATGGTCCCCCTCCGGAACCTGGTGATCAGGTCATGTTTCCCAAGAGACTTACCGTCAGCAGGATCATGGTGAGCCGCAATGGCAGCCACATAGACCTTCAGGGTGGAAGGAGACAGCCTTCGTTCCAACCCTTCTTGAAGAAAGGAAAGCACTGACCCGATCTGGCATTTCCAGGGGTCTTCTCGACGTGAAGAACACCAAGTGACGAAGAGGTTCCACTTCAGAGCATAGGCATGTCTGGTAGACGAGGCCCTAGCCGAAGTGATGGTAGCTACCACCTGAGGTGGCAAGGTACCAAAACCTTCTGTGACCCATCCAGAACCCACACATGTAGGTTCCAAAGATCGGGACGTCAGCCCGCAGCTCTACAGATGTCTGTTAGCGAGGCCCCATGTGCCAGCGCCCAGGAGGAAGCCACACTCCTAGTTGAGTGAGCTCTGCCAGAGGGTGCCCCGTCTCTGAGAAAGAAGGTCCTTCCTCAGAGGGATTGGCCAGGGAGGGGCTGTCGCGAGGAGTACAAGTTCGGAGAACCAGGTTCGGCCGGGCCAATAAGGCGCAACCATGAGGACCTGGTCCCATCCAGAACCCACACATGTAGGTTCCAAATGCCCAAGTGCAGCTCTTTGAGCACCTTGGCCTGGTAGACCTGGAAGATGGCCATGGTGTGCAGGGCAGAAGCGGCCTGACCCGCAGCTCTGTAAGCCTTGGCCACAAGCGTGGATGAGAACTTCCAGGCTTTGGATGGGAGCTTGGGACCACCACACCAGGTGGAGGCGCTCTGAGGACACAATTGCATCGCAACCGAGCGCTCCATTGGGGGTATCCCCGCATACCCTCTGGCCGCCCCGCCATCGAGGGCAGTGAAGGTGGAGGTAGCACCAGAACGGTTTCGGGCAGTTAAAGGTGCCTTCCACGAACTGGTAACTAACTGATGCACCTCCGGGAAGAAAGGAACTGGAGGGGGGCACTGGCGATTAGCGCGTGCAGCCCCCAGGAACCAATCGTCCAGCCTTGAGCGTTCGGGACAGGGTGGAGGATTCCACTCGAGCCCGATGCTCTCAGCTGCCCAGGAAAGCATGACCGTCAGCTCGGGATCAGACTCGGGCAACGCTGGCGTCCCAGAGGGAGGCAACGCAGCCGAATCCTCATCTCCCGAGGACTCAAGCCCGCCTTGTGATGCGGCGATCGACATTTGGTCATCCTCCTGAGCCCCGAATGAGATGCTGGGATCCTGGTGAGAGGGCCCAGCAAGCTCAACCGGAGGCTCCACAGGCTGCGGTATTTGTGAGGGGGGTGCAGCCCGAAGAGGCTGTCTCGTCAGGGAAGCCCACACCGTAACCCTCAGATCACCCTGGCCACCAGCCAAAGTAGCCCTCTTATGGGAAGAGGAACTAGAATGGGGTGTGGCAGAGGGGACTCTATACCGTTTAAGGTAATCGAGTCTCGATTGTAACGCCGAGATGGTCATGTCCCCACAATGAGAACATGAACCATCCACAAACACAGCCTCAGCGTGCTGAAAGCCCAGACATAGTGACATAGCGATCGTGGCCGTCACGAGGAGCCAAATATCGACCGCACCCAGAAACGCACGGGCGGTATGACATCTTTAAAAAGACGCAAACACAACCCGTATACTCTTTTAGAGGAAATAGCTCTTTCAGAGGTGCTGAAGTGCTCAGGGGAATGCAGGAGCTGGAAAGAAGAAGCAGGAAGCTCTTCAATGAACTGCTGAATCGTGCTGTCACACCAACACCACTGAAGGCTTGTTGCAAAACATTCCGGTGATACCAGCAGAGAGATGTGCTCGGCTCCGAAGCGAAAGCTTGAATGCACTGCTCCTTATATACCCACACAGTGGGGCGGAGCTCGCGATGCAAATTCCGCAGACCAAGGTACTCAATGTACCATTGGCTCGTTCTGTTACCACTCGAAGGTGATTGGGCTCTCGGGCGAGACCCCATTCATCAGTCTGTTCTGACGTTATGTCGAAACTGCGGTCAGTTTATTTTGTAGTTTGAGTCCAAGGCTTAGATCTTTGGTCTGCAGGCTAGTGCTATGTTTGACACAAACTAAATTCAGCTTACAGTAACATCCAGAATGGATGGTGGGAACTTGGTGGTTAAGTTTACAATTGAGTAAGGTACCTTAACCCAAATTGCTCCAGAGGTTTTCCTTGGAAAAATGATTTGGATATGCTTTGGAAAAAATAATAAAAAAATAAATAAATCTGCCGAAGATAACTAATAACTAACACTGGCTTTGTTAGGTTCTGTGGCATTGTAGGTAAAGTTTAGGGCTTGTAACCACAAGGTGGCATATGTGTAAATGCATGAGAATGACTTATAACCATAAAAATAATTTATGTTAACAGCAATAATAACAATGTTTCAAAGTATATGGCAAATCTAATGGCTTTTAGAATTCTCAGCCAGATCCCATACTAAAATTGCAAATCTATAGTAACATATCTAAATAATAGTAATAATAATAATAATAATAATAATAATAAAATAAAGATTTGTTTTGTCTAAATACAATAAAGATTACATTAAAGATTATACTTTTTATAAGAAAATGTGATTTCAGTTTTTCCTACTTCAAAATTGTACGTTTAATTCAATGTTACTTTACATTTCTATCTACATAGATTTCTGCATATTCCAGGTTATATTTTTGAATAATTTAAACATGTTTTTTTTTTCAAAGAAAATAAATGTCTTCATAACTTTTAATTAAAATGTAGTAAATACATTTATTTTTCTGATGTCACTTCCTGATAAAATACCATTTAAAATCCCATCCTACATTTATTTTTCTCTTTGAATATTCTTTCTCATCTGAGAATTTTGCATTATACAGGTAAACTGGTTTGCAAAATTATTTTTTTTTACATAAGCTTGAGTCATTCTCAAAGAAACTCCAAAAATTAAAATCCTTTATTTCTTAACCAGACTATGAGAGTTTGAGGATCGGAGGTCTGGCGTTTGCTGTGGTGCTGTTTGCTCTGGGAGTGCTCCTTATTCTCAGTAAGAAACATATTTTTATTTATTTCTTTTTTGAACTTATCTTCATTCAAGTCTAAATCATGCAAACATTACTGTAAAACAAAAGAAATCAGAGTACAATAGATAAACTGAGCTGCCACACAATAGATATAAATTATACAGCGGTGCTTTTATTCAACTGAGCATGAGATTAAGTTTTATTATGAAATAGAGATACATGAATATACGTCAAACTCAGTGGCAGAGATATAAATGAAGACACTCTTGTTATCAACATTTCATACAGGTTACAAGAATAACATATGTAAGGGATTATTATCCCTTATTATCCCCGTCATTATCACAATATAAAACCCGACAGGTCGTTTGTATGTTTTGCCATTCATCCATTTGATCTAAATCGTTTTGCTTGTGTGCACCCTGCAGGCCGCAGATGCCACTGCAGTATCAACCAGAAGCCCAGGTTAGTCCTATACAGTCTCTCTGATTCTCTGTCATGTGTGGCATGGGTTTATAACCATCGGTTATAATTTTCTTTATATTTTATATTTTCTCAGGGCTCCAGGAGGTGAAGAAGCTCAAGCAGAGAACCTCATGGTCTCCAAGGGTGAGATTCAGTACTGTCTCTTGTAATACACACTGGTCATCTTTAAGACAATTTTTAACTACTGTTCTTGTATTCTTCCTCATAAAGCCAAGGAGACTCCTAAAGCAAAGAACTGAAGCAGTCCAGGTACAGCGACTTTCCTTATGAAAGTGTGATTGTAGCATCAGACATGTCCAAAGTGCAGAAAGTTTGCTGTTACTACATCGGCTTTATTTCTTCTCAGTGTTGTTAAACGCATAGCCATGGCTGAACGACTTCACTGATGCTGTGGATGCTGATGATGATGAAGCTGATTCCAGACCATGGCTATGAGAGGAAAGAGAGGAGACAGAGATTTGTGTGGGGAGGCGATGGGCCAGTGTCTTGTACGTAGACCTCTCTAGTCCTGTCACGTGAATAGTAACCGTATCCGTCTTGCCGTCTGTACCCTTTTGCAATAGTCTGTCTTGAGTGAGTTGTTTTAGCAAAACTAGCCACTTTCTGCAGATCATTCTTAACGTTTTTGGCTCCTCCCCAACTGAACTTGTGTGTGTGGTTAAAAGGAACAGTTCATCCAAAAAGGAATATTCTCATTTCGTTCCAAATCTGTATGCATTTTTTTTTTTTTTTTTTATGTTGAAAACAAAACGAGACAATATTAAATATTCTTTATGTAGCCCTTATCATATAATGACCAAACCTAAAAAAAAAACACCATAGTTTTACTTTTTGGATGAACTGTCCCTTTAATTAAACATTTTGTTTTAACGTCCAACAGTGAATAACTGTTGCTGTTATTGTTGGTGGGACCACTTGTTATTGTCATTTGTGTCGCACCTGCTGTTTTTTTTTCTCTTGTAGTTTGTATAGATTATATGCACACATATTTAAAGTATTTAATATAAGTATTGATTCATATGTGATGAAGAATATTTTAATATACAATTTACGCATGTGCGCACGCATATGGATAGAGCCTGTAGAGCTCGTACGAATGTGTGTGTGCATGTATGCCTACATTCAGGGCACCTCCTCCCGACAATCTTTCGATCATTGTACCCAGACCAAGCACAAAAACAACACAGTACCACCACTGTACCAGAGGGGCGCTATACCACTGTCCTCTGATCAGCTGCAACACTGCCGGGCTCAAAACCCCCATTCGGACCCACAGTCTAAACGTCTGCGGCCTGAGAACGAGACCGCAGGAGCAGTTCACTTCACCATAGTGCCGCAAACCTGTGTCCTTTACCTTTACTATCACATGTCTTCTGTAGCCTATGTATTAACTTTCTTAAATTAATAGTTCACCCAGAAATGTAAATATTTTATCATCGTCTACTCACCCTCATGTCGTTAAAACTAAACAAACAAGATGGTTGTAATTGTTATGTGGAGCACAAAAGGAGGTATTTTGCTGAATGTCCAAGCAGCTGTTTTCCATATAGTAAGGTAAAACATAAAGTATGCTAGCACATGTGCAGCCGAACTCCGTTTGCTAGTGTGTCACACAGGCCCTCAACATATATATGCACACAAGAAAGTTTCATCCTTTACCAGTGTCTGTGCTATTTCTATCTAGAAGTTATGAACAACAAAAATGTCAGTTGTTGTCTTTGAAAGTAGTTTGTTTGTTGTTGTTGACTGTGAAACAATGGGCAAGGGCAGTGTTGCCACCTTGTGGACAAACTATGTAGTGCAAAATATGCAGCTAGAAAAACATGTAAAAACGAAGTTTTATTTGGCCTGCTTAGGAACTGGGACTTTGGTGCACACAAAAAGCACCATAAAACTATCATAAAAGTATTTCATATGACTTTTTACATTTACATTTAGTCATTTTGCAGACGCTTTTA